CCCCCCCCCCCCCAAAAAAAAAGTCCCTAATTCCAGCGAATTGATTCTATAGCTAGGAGCTATAATCCTTAAGCCCCAGAGCCCTCAAACCTCTACTCCACCCAAAGCCTTCAGGCCTAAACCGCAAACTCTACAACCAACCCTAGGGGGTCCAAGCACTTAATTTTCAGTAATATACTAAAGTGAAACTTGACTTATTGGGTACTTAACCCTATAGCCTAGACCCTAAACTCTAAACCCTCAACCCTTCGGCGTAGATCTTGAGGCTGCACTCCGCCCTCCTCCAAAGCTACACACGCCCGATGCCCCAAACCTCTACCTGATGCCACCCCAAGCTTTACCTCAACCACCACAAGTATGTAGAATAATAACGGCTTTTCGGCTTTTGTTAGGGGTTTGGGCAATCGTTCTACCTACTCTTGAGGTTTCGGTAAGCCTAAACTCCCAACTCCCAAGCTTAACGCCCTAGACTCAGGGAAAAACTTACTGGTTGTTAGTAGGAAATGACGGAATAGAATCCCCATGTTTGATATATTCCCTTCTAACCCCCAGCCCCTAAACCCTAAACCCTAAATCCCCCAGAATAAAGAGCCTCTTGACTCTTGACTTGAAATCTACCCAGGAACTGGGGCGAAGTGGTCAACTTGCGCCTGGCGTGCACTGGTCCCACTTAGGGTTTAGGGATTACGGCTTAGGGTTTAGGCTTTAGGGCTCGGGGGTTAGGGTTTAGGGTTTAGAGTTTGGGGATTAGGGCTTCAGGTGTAGTGTTCAGGGGTTAGGATTTAGGGCTTAGGGCCGCACTTGAGCTTTCAGGGCTTGAGATATGCGCTATGAAAACTGCTTCGCAATACGTCGGGGAGGGGGGGGGGGACTGCGCATGGGTTTCGAAGGTGTTTATGAAAATGGGACGAGGGGTTCCTTGCAGGCTCTCTTGACGTAGTAACTGAAACCCTACACTCTAAACCCTAGAGAAGTTGTCAAGCTTGTAAGCAGGGTGGGTGGTGCTGGCTTAGTAGGCTTACCAAGTCAAAGCAGCCTTCGAGTGGACTGTATAGGGTTTCAAGCGTAGGGTTTAGGGCTTGCACGCTTTGGGAGCCGGATTTAG